TTATAGAAGAGAGCTGGGGTGTTAGCCCTAATTTTATTCCAGTCACGCGGAATGAGCGATTATACAAATATTTACTGTGTTGAGGGGCATAGTCCGAAAGAGCCAACCATTGTTCAACACCTTGTTACTTCCTCCTTTCTCTCTTATTTCTACGCCACAAAAAGCACAAATCGACACTAACAGTAGACCTCAAATCAGCGAAGGCTATTTGGTTTCTAAAATCGACGTAAGTTTTATTTTAAATTTGCTATAATTATAAATGATTGACCATTACATTTGTAAGGTTTTGGAAATGGTTTTCCAAAAGGATTGTAGGCCTACATTAGAAAAAAAACCAATTATATATTTTCTGTTCAGGACACCGGCCCGATATCTATACGTTACTGCCACGCCCATACTATATTCATGGACCTATTAATAAGAAGGACCATGGACTCTTACTTTTTACGAATCGGAATATTAAAGTATCGGTTCATATACGTGAACAGCAGGGATAGCTGGCGTTAAATAAGTGGAAGAGGGTAGTGGTGGCTCCAGCGAGGTGGGTGTGCAGTGTGGTCCCGACAGGGAGCGGTCATCAATCCTCGGGGCTCAACACAATTCTTCGACAGACTGAACTTATTAGGATAGGAGACACTTTCTTTAAATAAATTTCAAATCTCTAAAATGTCGAAGCTTCCAGGAGCCTCGCCCCTGACCAGTGACCTCCTCCAATGGCTTTTCTGGTCGTCCCCCAGGCCCCGGTCAATTACACTCTCATTGTTGTCATCGTACTCCCGTCTGTCATTTCCTTGCGCCACCATTGGGAGAGGGGAAAGATTTCTGTGCGTGGTCTTAATTCGGAGTGGCTGATCAAATGGATTGAATTATTGTTAGTCTGTTCATACAGGATTCATATTTCGATCGACAATAAGTTGTATATTTTATTATTCTAATTTTTGGTAATGATAAATGTATTATTTCTCATGCTTTTGTGCCTTTGTATAGATCGGACGTTTCTCTTGTAAAATGAAACACAAATAAATCATAAATTATATGTTAATATAGCTTAATGAATCTATACTACACCTTATTCACAGCGATCTCACTCATCTATACGTCACAACTGTATACGAAAGTAACGAAGCATTCTGGTGAACATGGAGTATTTACCTAGGGAACAGTGAGTACGCTTCTGTATTATGATAATTTGATAAATTAAGATAAACAATTAATGAGAGAATAATTTCAAAAGGATGACAATTTACGTTGAATAATGGCTGTGATAGAGATGGTGCTGATGATAATGATGACGACGATGATAATGTTGATAATGATAATTAACATTCATGAGAAACCTGGTTCATTTTAACTAAATTAAGGTATAATAAACAATGTCATGTGGAAGCAAACAAACAATTTATTGATAAACATTGCTTGATTGTTATGTCACAGAAACAAATTAGTACAGGCTATAGTGAGAAATGACTGGCCAGCAGTAAGAAACATCCTGGAAAATGAACCGCACCTTAATGAAAATGTGGATGATGTAAGTACTCAGTTGCTACTAAATCTATGATCCACTCCAGATGTGATTTTTAGTAAATTATTAATAAAATATTATATACTATTACCTCGGGCTAACGAATTTCACAAATATATTCCCATAATGTATTTTGCTTTTTATGTGCTTTTTATTTAAAACAAAAAACAAAAAACAAAAAAAACACATCACTGCAACTAAGAATGAGGTAAATAGTCAGTTGCTACTAATTTTAGAAGCCAAATTCTTTAAAAAATATTAGAAAATTATTTTATTCTATGTATTCATAAAAAAAAAAGATACAAGATAAACACGTACATAACTTTTAATACGACTTATATCAATGGGTAATACACTGCTTTTTGTTTAATTGTAAATAAAATATAATAATTATTTGCAAAGGATTGCTATAAGCAAACTTAGGCCCTACGTAAATCAATCTTATTAGAGGGGTTTGAACTTATATATATATACTTTTTTTTATGCATAATGTGGTAATTATATAATTTGTTTAATGATATATCGTGTTGGTTGAATTAAATTGGTCTCACTCTTCATTTCAAATATGCAAACGTAAATAATTACCAACGAAACGAACAAATATTTTCCCACAATACTTTTTGCTTTTTTTTTTTAACAGAACAATCTCATATATTTAAAATGCACCATGCTGAATTAAGTCACATTGTCATTCTTGTTAAGTACAAACCGTGTGACCAATGTTTATTTTATTTATATTAAGCCTACAAATTAATTAGTTGATAAACTTCCGCGGAGATTATACCTGATAACTACAAAAACGAGTCTAGCGCCCTCTGTAGTTCAACAATATGTATTATGTACTTGCACTTTTACAATATCGATGACATTCAATATAATACTATTCACTTCGCCTTAATACAAAAACAGTATACAAAGTAATTCAATGGGGCACTACCGTATGCGTCCATAAAATGGAATACAGGATAAAAACGTACATCATTTTTAATATAACTAATGTCAGTGGGTAATACACATGCTTTTCGTTAAATTGTAAATAAAATAATAATAATAATAATAATAATAATAATAATAATTGGCGACGAATGGTTATAAGTAAACTTTGGCCCTACGCAAATCAATCTTTATTAGAGGGGTTTGAATTTTTATATATTTATTTAATGTATAATTTGTTAATTTCATAAGCTTTTTTTAATGATATATCGTATTGAATGCTTTAGGTTTCCTAACACAATAAACTTCGTCTCGAGTGCCTCTTAATATAATGTAGGTTAATTTCATATAGCTGTTTGGTAATATAAACTGGATGTGTGACAATTAGTTACTGTATTTAAACATAACATGTGATCAAATAACTCTTAATACTATTTTTTAATACAACAAATAAATTAATAGGCTTTCAAATTATTTTAAGAATACAATACAAAAAACAAAACAAAAACAATTTCGTATATCTAAAATGCAATACTGTATCACATTTCCACTGATTTTTTTAATTCAAAAATTCAATTAATGGGCTTACATAAATTAATAAAAAATGGGTGGTCAAAAATATAATTCTTCCTGAGAAATGAAAATGATATCAATAATTAAATAATAGGCCTATGTATGTACTAAGGAATTTGGATAATATATTAACCAGAATAAATAGATACATAAGAACTTGCGACCATAAAATGAAACTCAGTATAAAAAACGTATATAATATCTATGGGTAATACACATGCTTCTCGTTAAATTGTAAATAAAATATTAATAATATTTAAAATATTTGGCGATCAATGGCTATGAATAAACTGAGGCCCTACGTAAATAATCTTTTTAGAGAGATTTGAACTTATACTTATTCAATTTATGATCAAATAATTATTAATATAATACTATTTTTTTAATTCAACAATTAATGGGCTTACATAAATTATTCAAAAACGGCTGGTCAAAAATAAAATTCTTCTTGAGAAATGAAAATGATATCAATATTGTAGTAAAAGTAATAGGCCTAGAATTTAATAATGAATTTGGATGATATATTAACCAGTATAAATAAATACATAAGAACTTCATACAATTTTAGTAAAAGTATTATAGGCATAAGAATATGGTAATATAA